GCTGAGCCACAACCCCGGCCCAAGCCCTTTCTCTTTTTATGTTGCGCACCTAGTTGTCATCCAGAGTGGCCTGGAAACAAAGCTGGCTGAAGTAGTTCTCAGCTTCCCTTCTCACCATTAAAAGGTAGGGAGGACTGGACAGTTTGAGTTTGTCGGGACACTAGATCAGTGCACTCCCAGGGTGGGGCTGATGCAGAGCTCTAAATGGGAAGTTCCAGCAGCTAGCTAGGGTTTAGCTCTGATCTGAACCTTATCCTGTGGTATCTGCTTCGGAGAGATTAGATTAACATATCCTAGGGCCAGGCAAATGCCAGGCTTTGCTGGGCATCTGGATGTTCATGTCCTCCTAAGAATTCTACTTGTAGGGCAGAATAACCAACCTTGCACAGGTCTTGCACACTTCCCAGGCTCAGTTCCAGAGTGCAGTTGCACCCACCTTTGCAATTTATAGACCTCCTTCAGATGATCTTGTGAGCTGTTAGGCTCAAAGGGAAAAACAAGCCTCATTCCCCTTGCTAGCCCTAAACCTGAATTTTCAATCACATTCCACTAAGAACATCCTAGGCCTGTTGGTTGGTATGCACTTGCTGAGACAGGATGGCAGTATTTTGTATGATCTCCTGGGCTCCTGTAGCTGCAGGCTACAACCTGGCCTCTTCAAGATAGTTCCCAGCCTCAGCTCTTCACTTGCTAGTTGAGAAATTGGAGCACTTTTCAAATACCATCTCACTATACAGCCTCTGATTCAGCTAAGTTTAGACTGCTTTTTCTGTTCTATAGGTTTTCCCATGCCATATTAGCCTGCTGTTTCTCTCTCTCTGTTTGTATCTCACCTTCATTCTGCAGTGAACTGGCACCACTTCTGCCGCTGGCTTAGCTCAGCCTTTCTCTAATCTGCAATCTTTGATCTCCTAAAAGGCAATTTCATGATAATCATTTTCTGCTTTTTTAAAAATAATGACAGTATATATTCTCAGTGCACTTTTGTTTTTTCCCCACTCCCCTTCCACCCCCACTACAGTTTGACCTGTGGAATCTCTATTATAAGTTTGATCAGATTCAGACTTAGTGTTTTTTTGATAAGACTTTGTAGATTATGGGCTCTTGTTTCATCAAGAATTGTAAAGTCTTGTTTTTTTTTTTTCTTTTAGTGATGTTAGTGACTATTGATATTCAGCAGTTAAATTAGTTCACTGCAGATTCAGAAAGTAATGATTCTCCATTTTTATTATTTCTTATTCACGTATTGTTAAAATGTTATCCTCTATAGAGAATCTTTCCCTTCTCTAATGTGTGGTTATCTACTGGTTCAGTTTATATATGGAAGAATACATAGCTAGGCACACTGTGGTCCATGCCTGCATTCCTAGCTACTCTGGGAGCCGAGGTAGAAGAATCACATATTCCAGGTCAGCCTGGGAAGTTTAGCAAGAACCTATCTCAAGACAAAATTTTAAAAAGGTCTGGGGAAGTTGAGTACTGTGATGTGTTCCTGTAATCTTAGTGACTCTGGAGGTTTAAATGGGGGTTGCAAGTTTGAGGTTAGACTCAGCAATTTAGGCCCTGTCTCAAAGTAAAAAGGCCTGGGGTTGTAGCTCAGTGTTAAGAATCAGAAGATTCACTCTCCAGTACCAAAAAAAAAAAAAAAAGGTTTAGGAATATGGTTTAGTGATAGACCTCTTGTCTATCCCAGGATTTAATCCTTGGTACAGCAAGAAAACTAAAAATAAATGTTTATTTCTCATTTTTTACCAGTTTGGGAAATGATGGGGTTTTTACTACATCTTTCAAAGTAAGCCATTTTTTTTTCTTTATAAGTATCTTCAGGAACCCATGATTACATTTCTTTCTATTCATTCCAGTTATCCTTACTGATGTTCAAATTGTCCCATCTTAAAAAATAAGGAACAATTTAGTTTTTATTTATGTATTTATTTTCTTTGGCCAACAGGAATCTCTTCATGTTAGATCCCTGTCCTGTGGTGTTTGTATTTGTATGTGTGTGCGTGTGTATATGTAGCTTTTAAAGCACATATACTAAACATGTTCCATATATGTATACTTTTTCCCATGTTGAGAATTGATCCCAGTGCCTCACTTATGCTAAGCAAGTGCTCTACCATTGAGCTAAACCTCAACCCTGGTTTTTATATTCAGTATATATTTAAGATAATTCCACATTAAACTATATAGAACTGCTTTATTTTATATAGCCACATAATGGTCTCTTATATAGCTACACAATAGCTTATTTAACAGATCCTGGCTGATGAACATTTTAATTTTTTTTTGAGTGGGGAGTACCAGGGATTGCAGTCAGGAGCATTTGGTCACTAAGCCACATCTTCAGCCCTATTTTGTATTTTATTTAGAGACAGGGTCTCACTGAGTTGCTTAGCACCTCACAGTTGCTGAGGCTGGCATTGAAATTGGCTTCTGTCGCAGTCCGGCTGGGCAAAATAACCGGGAGGTGACAAGCAACTTGAAGGTTGAAGCGGGAACTCCTTTATTGCGAGGGAACTCAGCGGGAACTGAAGGTAGCAGGCACCCAAGGTAGCAGTAGCCACTTTATTGCGGGACAGCAGAGGTATATATACCTAACTGATTACACACAGCTTGACTCAATTAGCATCATCTAGATACAGCAGTCAGCCAATAAGGAATCCCCACCATCTTAATGGCTCGGTGACGTTGCTTCACAAACTACTCCTCCTGGCAAACTGCCAGGCGCCATCTTGACTTAATTTGCGGTCCCCAACAGGCTTCCTCCTGCCTCAGCCTCCTGAGCCGCTGTGATTACATTAATGAGCATTTTGATTGTTACCCTGCAGTATTGTAAACAGTACTGCAATGTATTTCTTGATATGTACTACTTTGCCAACACATGGAAGGATAGCTGCAGGATCAATTCCCAGAAATGGAATGGCTGAGTAATAGTTATTGCCAAATTATCCTCAAAAAGCAATGAAAAACTACTTTTAAAAAAAAATTCCTTCTTATCCTCTGATAATACTCGTATGCTGGATTCAAAAAAAAGAAAACAAACCTTGTTGTAGTCTTTGTGTTTCCTTAATTGGCTCAATTTTATATTGAATTCTTAAATCTTTTCCATATTGATTTGTGAGCAGTAGATATAAAGAAATTATCCTTTGGTGATTATGGGTACACATATTTATTCCTAATCATGTTTCTTCTTTTGATTACATTTGTGTTATTTACTTTCTAGAAGTTAAATTTTCTGTGTTACTGAAATTGGCTAGGCTTTAAAAAAATCGAACTTAGAGAAGAAGAGTTAGAGGTACAACAGTTTTTACTTTGGAGCCATTTAAGAGTTGTCAACATATTTCCTTGTCACATTCCAGTGCTTTAGTGTATATTTTCTACAACAAGGATATTCTCTCAAATTACCACATAGAACTACTAAAATCAGTATGTAAAAATTGATTCATTACTATCGTCGAAACTTTAGACTTTAGGTTCACTAATTGATGCAATAGATTTAAGACTTTTCAGTCTTAAATCTGCTTTATCTCTTCAATCTTCAATTCCAAACAGCCTTTAATCTGGAGCAGTTTCTCAAACTTTTCCTGATTTTCATGACTTTCACAGTTTGACAACTGTAGATCATTTGTGTTATAGAACACATTAAAACAACTTTGTTCGATGTTTCTTTATAATTCACCTCAGGTTATGATCTTTGTTAGAAACATCATAGAAGTGCTATGATTTTTTTTTCCAGTTTGTCCTATTGATGTTTACTGAGCACTTGATTAAAACATTGTCTGGTTGACATCACTACTATGGAATTATTATTTTTACCCTTTCTACTTAAGTATTTTGTGGGAATGTAGTTTTATCTTATGCATTCTCAGACTTTTAGCATATTTATTTTGTCAATGTCAATACAGGTTTGTGAGTTGATATCCATTCTGTGGGTTATCCTTTTACTTTTATTATTAATCTTTACCCTTCAACATACTTTTGCCAAGTGGAGCCTTTTCAGGTTGGCTTTTATGACCTTTTAACATGTCCTTATCATTTTTTGAGCACATTTTAGTTTTTTTGCCACAGATATTCCAGACTCATTTTGTCCATTTCTGCCCAACTCTGAAATCAGCCATTTTTCCAAGGAGTCTTTATTCCTTTTATAGAAAATAATATTCAGAAGCCAAGATTCAGTTGTTAGTTATGCTCATTGCTTTTGGAAGATCAGTGCTCTCAGGCTCTTTTAGTGAATAGAGCTAGGAAATATAAGTATACCTATGTCCACACACATAGGAACATTTACATCTGTGTGATTGTGCTTGGAAACCATAAGTTCACACTTGATATCTCCTATTCAAAGGGTTTATTCTTGCTTTCTTTTTATATTTACAACTATCTTCTCTGACAGTGAGGTTTTCTCTGACAGTGAGGTTATCTGGCTTCCATTATCCTATTGACTTATTTGATACATCATACATCTCTGCCACCCCCTCTCCTGTGTAATTCCCTCCTCTGTCTTCTCTGACTCCCCATTCCAGGCCACTCCTCCTCCCCCATGAAGACTTATTTCCTACCCCTTTTAAGTTCCAGCCCACATACCAGACTATGATGCTCTGGGTGGACATCCTTTTTACCCTACTAGCATCAGAAACTAGAGACTGAACTGACCCTCCTCATTGATACTTTCTTCACTCTGCTTTGATTATGGTGCCCTTTGCCAATCTGTCCACCTTATCTCACCTCCCCATTTAGGCTCTATCCATGTAATACCTGTTCCCTTCTCTCTCCTTTAATCAAGCAGTTATCCTTATCCTATATTTGTTTTCCTTTTTAATGTCCTCTGAGTTTTATAGAACTTTAACTTCTCCTTTGGATTGTTATCTAGTTGGCTGGAATTTTATGTAAAATTTGTATCTCTTCCTCTGTCCTTCCAAATTTGAAATCTTAAAAAATTTACTGCGTCTATAGACATTTTTTTAAGTGGTTATTTTTCTTATTGCTTTTGTTTATAACAGATGATGATGTACCTGCAGATATGGTTGCAGAAGAATCAGGTCCTGGTGCACAGAATAGCCCATACCAACTTCGTAGAAAAACTCTTTTGCCGAAAAGAACAGCGTGTCCTACAAAGAGCAGTATGGAGGTATGTTAATTATAATTTTCTTTTGTTTTTGTAATGAAATGCTTTTTAGGAAACAAAGGGAATGTCATCTGTTTTAGAAGTAATAAATATGTATGGGAGAAACATTTCTTTATTTTATTTATTTATTTATTTTGAAGGGTGCCTCAACTTCAGCTACAGAAAACTTTGGTCATCGAGCAAAACGTGCAAGAGTATCTGGAAAGTCACAAGATCTGTCAGGTATTTCCCATGGGGAAACTAAGGCATAGGGTAAAATAATTTTTAAAACCTTTTTTGCTTCAAGCCAGGCAAAGCCGTGCACACCTATCATCTCAGTGACTCAGGAGGCTGAAACAGGAGGATCACAAGTTCAAAGCCAGCCTCAGCAATTTAGCAAGACTTTGTCTCAAAATATTAAAAAAAAAAAAAAAAGGGCTAGGGGACTGGGGTTGTAGCTCAGAAGTAGAGTGCCTGGCATACGTGAGGCACTGGGTTTGATCCTCAGCACCACATAAAAATAAAATAAAGGTGTTGTGTCCACCTACAACTAAAAAATAAATATTTTAAAAAGTTGGGTGGGGCTGGAGCTCAGTGGTCAAACACCCCTGGGTTCAATTCCTGGTAACAAAAAAAAAAAAAAAAAAAAAATTTTTTTTTTTTTTGCTTCATTCCAAAAAATGGAAATATATATTTGTTATTACATTTTAGAGTATTAAATAACATTTGAATGCTTACCTCTATATCTTGAGCTTTTATCCTTCTTAAAAATTCTTCATAGGGGCTGGGGATGTGGCTCAAGCGGTAGTGCACTCGCCTGGCATGCGTGCAGCCGGGGTTCGATCCTCAACACCACATACAAAGATGTTGTGTCCTCCGGAAAAAAAAAAAAAAATTCTTCATATATTTATTCTAACTAATTTCTTAGATGGCACATTAAATATACTTAAACTAATACTTGTTAAGTAGAGATAAATGTCTTATCTCTGAAGTAAAATGACCATTAGCAAAAGCAAGTTATTCATTCTATAAAATGAAAATTGTATTCTTTAATGAGAAAGGCATTGTTAGCATGATAGATTGTTTTATATTGTTTGTTCTTTTTTTTTTTTTTTTTTTTTAGCAGCACCTGCTGAACAGTATCTTCAGGAGAAACTGCCAGATGAAGTAGTACTAAAAATCTTCTCTTATTTGCTGGAACAGGATCTTTGTAGAGCAGCTTGTGTATGTAAACGCTTCAGTGAACTTGCTAATGATCCAATTTTGTGGTAAGTGGAAAACTTATTCCTTATCTTGATGTATTATTTGCTGCTTTAAATGCTAAACATTGTAGGAAAGTATGAGTTGGTAATTACAATTAAGTAGTCAGAACAGAATTATGAAGTCCAAGTTACCTGTTTATCATAAATGTGGATTGTCGATCCAAGCAGTATTTATGATACAGTAAATGAAATACTTTCTCTGCTGTTTTTCAAGTAATAGCAATTGAAAGATCAAGGGAAGTGTTTTTCATTTAATTGCTTTGTAGAAACACAGCTAAGTGTAATTTAAAATAGTTAATGAGAGTTAAATCTGATAGTTTAATGAAAGTGTGTATTTTGTCCATCACTTTTGAAACAATATTTTTTCCATGAAACTTAAAATGTTCATTCCCTTTTTTCATTCCTCAGAAATTATTCTGACGATTTTTTATATTTATGAAGTATTTTATTAAATTTTTTATAACAGCATAGATAATAATAAGGAAAAATTAGAGATAATCTTAATGTCCAGCAATGAGAGAATGAACTAAGGAAATACAGACTTCTAATTGGAGGGTTGAGATTTTTTTTTTTTTTTTTTTTTTTTTTGATACCAGCGATGAACCCAAAGCTGCTCAACCATTGAGCCACATTCCCAGCCCTTTTTTAAAAAAAAAAAAATTTTTTCTTTTTTATTTGTAGTTGGACACAATACCTTTATTTATTTATTTTTATGTGCTGCTGAGGATCAAACACAGCACTTCCCATGTGCTAAGAGAGTGCTCTAACACTAAGCCACAACCCCATTCCCAGCCCTTTTTTATATTTTATTTAGAGACAGGATCTCACTGAGTTGCTTAGGGCCTTGCAAATTTGCTGAGGCTGGCTTTGAACTCATAATCCTCCTTCCTCAGCCTCCTGAGCTGCTGGGATTACAGGCGTGTGCCCCTGAGCCCGGCCTAATTGTGATCTTTACAAAAAATTGTTTTCTGCTTTTGGGAAGTGTGGGGTATGGTTTATGGCAAGCACTCTACCCCTGAACTATACCCAGCCCTACGTAAGTTTATTTAATTTATTTTTTTAAATTTGTTTTTGGAGTTGTTGTGGTACTAAAAATCTTCTCTTATTTGCTGGAACAGGATCTTTGTAGAGCAGCTTTTATATGTGGACAGCCTTTATTTTTATTTGTTTATTTTTATGTGGTGCTGAGGATCGAACCCAGAGCCTCACACATGCTAGGCAAGCACTCTACCACTGAGCCACAACCCCAGCCCACTATATAAGTTTTTAATAAGATGCAAAAAAATGCTATGTTATATATAAGTGAAAAGAACAGAATATATAATATTCTGTTTAATTACAACTGTAATAAATGAAATATCTGTAGATAAAAAATACTGGAGGAGAATATACTAAGCTGTGCTTGTATTAAAAGGTGTATTTACATTAGAAATGAAAATTGAAAATGAAAAGTAGAAGAAAAAGCACTTTGCATTGTATAAGAAATTAAAAGTTATTATTCAGTTCTAAGATCTTATGGTACTTAATAGGATGTAAATAGACTGAAGATATAGGCAGAATTAAGTGTTTTATTGAAAGTTATCTTTTAAAATAAAGTGGCATGAAACATTTATAGTAGGTGTGGCCTATTCCCCCCTCCCCCTCCCCAGTGAACAATTTTTGAAGAAATTGATGCTTGTTTTCTTTGGGTAGGCTAATTTTCATATATAGTTATATTGTTCTAGCCAAAAACTATTTTCACATTTAAAATTCTGTATGTTGCCTGTGTGGTGGCACATGTTTAACAGCGCTAGCTGCTGGAGAGGCTTAAGGTGGTAGGATTGTTGGATACCAACCTTGACAACGAAAGTGAGACCCTGGCTCAAAAAAGTGAAATAAAGTTCTGTATTTTTACATTAATTTTTGTCTGTTATTTTCATTTTTTTTATTTATATGAGACAGCGGAATGCATTACAATTCTTATTACATACATAAAGCACAATTTTTCTTATCTCTGGTTGTATACATAGTATATTAACACCAATTTGTGTCTTCATACCTGTACTTTGGATAATAATGATCATCACATTCCACCATCATTAATTACCCCATACCTGCTTCCTTCCCCTCCAACCCCTCTGCCCTATCTAGAGTTTGTCTATTCCTCCTATGCTCCCTCTCCTTATCCCACTATGAATCAGCCTCCTTATATCAAAGAAAACATTCAGCATCTGGTTTTTTGGGATTGGCTAACTTTACTTAGCATTAACTTCTCTAACTCCATTCATTTACCTGCAAATGCCATGATTTTATTCTCTTTTATTGCTGAGTAATATTCCATTGTGTATATATGCCACTTTTTTTTTTTAATCCATTCATCTATTGAAGGGCATCTAGGTTGGCTTCACAGTTTAGCTATTGTGAATTGTGCTGCTATAAACATTGATGTGGCTGTGTCCCTGTAGTATTGTTTTTAAGTCCTTTGGGTATAGATCGAGGAGAGGGATAGCTGGGTCAAATGGTGGTTCCATTCTCAATTTTCCAAAAATCTCCATACTATTTTCCATATTGGCTGCACCAGTTTGCAGTCCCACCAGCAGTGTATGAGTATACCATTTCCCCCACATCCTCGCCAACACTTATTGTTTGTATGCATAATAGTTGACATTCTGACTGGAGTGAGATGAAATCTTAGAGTGGTTTTGATTTGCCTTTTTCTAATTACTTGTGATGATGAACATGTATTTGTTGATTGATTGTACATCATCTTCTGAGAAGGGTCTCTTCAGGTCCTTGGCCCATTTATTGATTGGCTTATTTGTTTTTTTGGTGTCTAGTTTTTGAGTTCTTTATATACCCTAGTGAGAGTGCTCTATCTGATACGTGAGGGGTAAAGATTTGCTCCTAAGATGTAGGCTCTCTGTTCACCTCACAGATTGTTTCTTGCTGAGAAGAAACTTTTTAGTTTGAGTCCATCACATTTATTGATTCTTGATTTCAAGTCTTGTGCCACAGGAGTCTTATTAAGGAAGTTGGGACCTAGTTTTTGAGGCCTCAGATATTTGTTTAAAGTTTTATTTACTCTAAAGGATATTTTATAATGAGATCTTTAATTCCCTTTAGGAAACGATTATACATGGAAGTATTTGAATATACCCGTCCTATGATGCATCCTGAACCTGGTAAATTCTACCAGATTAATCCAGAAGAGTATGAGCATCCAAATCCTTGGAAAGAGAGTTTCCAGCAGTTGGTATGAAATATAAGCAAAAAATATTAATTTACATTATGCATATGTAAATAAAAGTTTCTTTAAAAAATAAATTTAAAGTCAAGAATAGGTTTTGAAGATCAGCCACTGACCTTTTATCAACCATCAAAATATTTAACAATTCTTTCTTCTACTGACATGTTTATTAATAATTTATCTAGTGGTAATAAGCATCAATAGTGAGAGAACACTTAATGATTTCAGGTGGTGTGTTTGAACTCATATTTAAATAGTTTTCAGTAGCCGTTTTAAACTTCCACATTTAGTTTATTCCACTTTATGTGGTCCCCCTACTCCCCTTTTTGGCACTAGGCATTGAATCCATGGGTGTTCTGCTGCTGAGTTACATCCCCATCCTTTTCATTTATTTTAGTTTTTTGAGACAGGATCTAAGTTGCTGAGGCTGGCTTCAAACAATAGATCTCCTGCCTCAACTTCCTGAAATGTTGGGATCACAGCTGTACACACAAACTTATTATGGTCCTTTATAATGGCTTTCAGTTGGGAGTGATTTGGTCTCTTAAAGGCCAGGAAACATTTGGCAATGTCTTTACACTTGAGAAATTGAAAGAAGATGGTGCTAGAGGTATCAAATTGGGTAGAGACCAATGATGCTTCTAAATATCCGCCAATGAATAAGGCAGCCTCCACAACAAAGAATCATTTGGCCCCAAATAATAGTAGTGGTGAGATTGAAAAACTTTGCCTTTCTTACTAAATATTACTGAGTCATAACTTATTATAGATTTTATTTTGTACTATATGACAGAAAATTAGTTTGAGTAGTTGGGATTTTTTATATTTAAAAGTTATACTGTGAGGCAGGGGCTATATATAGCTCAGTTGGTAGAGTACTTGCCTTGTAAACACAAGGCCTTGGATTCAATCCCCTTGGCGGGGGAGTCATACTGTGGTACATTTAGAATATAATATTTATATTAGTAGTCAATATTTGGTTTTGCTTTGTTTTTGACATTTCAGTATAAAGGTGCACATGTAAAGCCAGGATTTGCTGAACATTTCTACAGTAATCCTGCAAGATATAAAGGAAGAGAAAATATGTTGGTATGTTTGATTTGTTTTTTTATGAATTTAAAATAATAATCTTTCAGTTCTATACTGACGCTTTTATCCTTTTTTTAGTATTATGATACTATTGAAGATGCCCTTGGTGGGGTACAAGAAGCTCATTTTGATGGACTTATCTTTGTTCATTCTGGAATATATACTGATGAATGGATATATATTGAATCTCCAATCACCATGATTGGTGCAGGTATTTTGAAATACATTGTTATTAGAATTTTAACATTTTATTCATATTATTAAATTTCTAGATGGGTTTTTTTAAATGATAGTAACTTAAAAGCTGGTTGAGCTTTGTTTAATACCTTAATAGTAGGAGAGAATAGGAATGAAGATATCTCATACTTTGTGGAGAAAATGAAAATATGAGAGTTCACAAATTATAAATGTATGTATTTCTTGATGTTAGCCCTTTCTCCAGTTGCCTTTCCTCATTAAAGAAAGAAAAAAGTTTGTTAGCTCTATATTTATTGTAAAAATAAAGATGGAGGAAAAAATACAAAAATAAAAATAAAGACATTAATGTTTTTAATGCTATATTTTAAAGGAATTGAAATGTAATTTTTAAATACATCGTATACTGTTTCAAAGATACATTATGGTCAAATTTGTAAGAATAAATACAGTGAAATATTTGTTGAACACTGATGAGTGATTGGAAGGATTGTGTTGTCTCTGAGTTTTTGGGGATACAGTACATAGATGAATTTAAGATGCCAAGCAATTATTATTTGCTAATGAAATTTGCGTTTACTGCCTTTCTACTTCCCTCCCCTTTCTCCATTATAGAGGAGGAAAGGGCTGGGTGTGTAGCTCAGTATAGAGCACTTACCTAGCATGTGAGCCCCTGGGTTCAATCCCTAGCACCAAAAAATTAAAAAATAATTTTAAAAACTGGGGGAGAGTATAGAAGACTTTTGCATGCTGATTTTATTACTTTCCAAGTTGAGGGTACTGTTGCAACAAATTTAAAGAGGTCTCTTCTCTTTGTCTCTTCTCTGCCTGAGCTGGTTTTTCCTAGTGTACATGGATTTGAGGATAATGGTAAAATAATATCTTCTTTAAATATCATAAAGGCTGATAGTTACATAATAAAGTGAGTATTAGTCCTACTGCTTAATACTGGTGTTTTTAAAAAATATTTATTTATTTTTTTAGTTGTAGTTGGACACAATACCTTTATTTATTTTTATGTGGTGCTGAGGATTGAACCCAGGGCCCCACAAGCGCTAGGCGAGCGTTCCACCGCTGAGCCACAACCCCAGCCCCAAAACTGAAGTTCCCTCTCCATAAAAGTACCTAGTTGGAATGGAATAAAGTAATATGCCTTAAAATATCTTCTCCACAGCACCTGGGAAAGTAGCAGACAAAGTTATTATTGAAAACACTAGAGATTCAACCTTTGTTTTTATGGAAGGTTCTGAAGATGCTTATGTTGGATATATGACAATAAGGGTAAGAAATTTTTAAGATTTAAAAAATAAATGTTGAAATCATTAAAGCAATGATGGTTTATTTCAAATGAAATTTCTACTTTTCCAGTTTAATCCTGATGACAAATCTGCTCAGCACCACAATGCACACCACTGCTTAGAGATTACAGTAAATTGTAGCCCTATTATTGATCACTGTATCATCCGAAGTACATGCACAGGTTAGTGTTTCCTTTATCTTTTACAGTAAAATTGAATCACTGTGTTGCCCAGGTTATTTTTAATAAATACTTTTTTCTTATAGTTGGTTCTGCAGTATGTGTTAGTGGTCAAGGAGCATGTCCCACTATCAAGCACTGTAACATCAGTGACTGTGAAAATGTTGGACTTTATATAACAGATCATGCACAGGTATTTTTAAGTTTTTTTTTTTTTCTTTCTTAATTTCTTTAAAGCTATCCTAATGTTTGTTTCTGATTAAATGTTATAGGGAATATATGAAGATAATGAAATTTCCAATAATGCTTTAGCTGGAATTTGGGTTAAAAATCATGGAAACCCAATTATTAGGCGGAATCATATTCATCATGGACGTGACGTTGGTGTGTTCACATTTGATCATGGCATGGTAAGACCATTTATTCTTAAATAAGTTTCAACATTATTTTTCACCATCAGATTGTCTGAATTGAAGCAATTCAGCATTATATTTAAAATCAACATGTAATATTTATTCTATAATGTCAGACATTACATCCAGATAAGCATAGTGGTGAGAAAAGAGTCCTTATGGAATTGATGTGATCTTTAAGGAGAGTCTAATCTAATAGTGTTGATTCTCAAATGTAATTGTACATAAAAATCACCCAGAGAGAATGAGCCAGGCACGACGGCATACACCTATAATCCCAACAGCCCAGGAGGCTAAGGCAAGAGGATCACAAGTTCAAAGCCAGCCTTAGCAACTTAGTGCCATCCTCCCTGTAAATAAAATATTTAAAAGGATGGGGATGTGGCTCATTGGTTAAGTGCCCCTGGGTTCAATCCATGGTATGAAAAAAAAAAGTAGTAGAGAAATGGTATAATGTATCTCCATGTATTCATCAACAACTCATGGCCAGTTTTGTCTACCTCCCTATTCACTTTTTATTCCCTTCCTTATACTTTGCATTATTTTCAATCAAATATAGCATCATGTCATCACTAAATATTTTAGCATGTTTCTAGTAAAAAATGACAATTTTAGCTAGGCACAGTGATACATGTGTCTAATCCTAGCACTCTGGAGGTAGGAGTTTTTGCAAATTGGAGGCCACCTTCAGCAACTTAGTGAGATCCTGTCTCAGTAATAATAATAAAATTTTAAAAGAAAAATTGCTGAGGATGTAGTTCAATGGTAAAGCACCCCTGGGGTCAAACCTCAGTATAAAAAAATAATAATTCTAAGCCAGGTGCAGTGGCACATGCCTATATAATTCCAGAAACTTTGGGAAGCTGAGGCAGAAAAGTCACAAGTTCAAGGCCAGCCTCAGCAATTTAGCAATACCCTCCTTAGCTAAACCCTGTCTCAAAATAAAAAACAAAAAAGACTGGAAATGCAGCTCAGTGGTCAAGTGCCTCTGGATTAAATTCCCAGTACCAATAAAAGGGGAAGTTCTAGGAGGGTAAAGTTATAGCCCAGGACAGCATGTGTGAGGTTCCGAGTTTCAATACCTAGCACCAAATAAAGGGAGGAGATTTCACATAACACAATATCAGTAAAAGTAATTAGGAATGATTGCTTGGTATAATCAAATTTTCTTTTCAGTATTCAGTTACCCACTTATGTTTGTTTAATATTTAGTCCATTGCAGTGTTACTTTTGTAAAATGATTAAAATATCATAACAGTTTCAGATTGCTACATCCCTACCCAACACTTTTAAGGCAACCAGAGTTTATTTTCTTTCTCTTCTTCAGCCTTTTGTTGAAGGACACACACGAACACAAACAAACACACTCTTTGTCTCTCTCTCTCATACATATATGTATTAGATAATGGTATTTAATTGCACTTTATAATAGATCTTTCCTTGGTTTTTTTTCCTGTCTTTGAATGCATTTATAATAAGTAGAAGTTCATAGTTGTTTACTAAAACATTTAAATCTGTTTCTTTCCATATTTATCATTTGAAGGTTAGTGTTTATTTTTCATCCTTATACTTGAACATTTTTGATGCTTAATTTTGAGGTGTGCATTTAGAATTTTTTAAATTTTTTTTCTTTTTGGAAAATAGCATTTACCATTGCATTTAATTTCTGTATTTTTTCAGGGTTACTTTGAAAGTTGCAACATACACAGAAACAGGATAGCAGGCTTTGAAGTAAAAGCCTATGCTAACCCCACAGTGGTTCGATGTGAAATTCACCATGGGCAGACTGGAGGAATATATGTCCATGAAAAAGGAAGAGGACAATTTATAGAGAATAAAATCTATGCAAACAACTTTGCAGGTGTATGGATTACCTCAAATAGTGACCCAACAATAAGGTATTTACCTATAATTATGGATAGAAATTACATTTAGCTTCAGGGTTTGTCATATAAGAAAAGTTAAGATACTGAGCTTTGACTCTTAAAGTCTTTGCATCCAATTGAGAATAGTTATTTATCATTTGGTTTTCTGTCTTCTGTTTACTTTTATTAGTGACTTATGCCATACACAAAATTATTCTATAAACAATTGCAAATGCTGTAATTTTTATTTAAAATTCATCAAACCGTATTATTGATGACTAAGTAGAGCTGAGACCTTCTCTTGGAATCTAAATTACTTTGTCTTCTCTTTCTCTAAAAGTCAAAAGTTAGAGTAATTTAAGAAACTAATTATCTGAAAGATTCTTGGACAGAGAAACTACGAATATCAAAAAGTCAAAACTGTAGACTGCTACTTTCCCTTATAGTTCTTACCCCCTCTAGTCACAATAAGAAGCGAAATAAATCTAGTCTTAAAAGCCATTGTCCAAGACTGGGTAAAACAGAGAGCATGGATTATTTTTTAATTATCAAATTTTCTTTTCCACTTGCTGTAGGAAAATGGATGTTGTGTCCTCTTACACAAATGTTTGTAGATCAGCTAAAAGAAATTGAATTTTTTGAGGGGAATTTTTAAGAATGGTATTTGGTCTCAGGGGCTGTAGCTTAGTGTTATCTAACAGCACTTGCCTATGCCTAGCATGTGCAATGTCCTGGGTTTGATCCCTAGCACTGCAAAAAAAATGGAAATGAATGCTATTTTTGTCTCAAATAATAGGTGACATTTCCCAAGTCTTAGGATTAGAAAGAACTAAAAGAATTCAGAAATCATCTAGTAAGTGTGTCTCAACTTTACAAGTAAACATAGTCCATAGAAGTTAAATAATTTATCACATAACTATAAGTAGTCTTAATAGTTGCATAAAACAAGCTTTGTTAAAATAGGTACTATGATTGTTTACATAATTATAGGGGAAATTCTATATTTAATGGAAATCAAGGAGGAGTTTACATCTTTGGTGATGGACGAGGCCTTATTGAAGGAAATGACATTTATGGTAAGCATATGGTTTTGTTTTAGAAAACTTATAGAATAGCCTGTCTTCTTGATATTAGCAAAATAGACTATTTTGAAATCATCTGAGTGGAGAACTGATCTAGTTTCTTTAAATTCCCGGTAACGATTATTCTGCAGTACTTATTTAACAAATATTCCCTGGGTATCTACTATATACTATACACTATGCAGATAGCTGGGTGAAATATAAATAAGACCCTAGTCTCAAGAATTATCTACGGTTTCCTTGGATTCACTCCATTACTTAACAATAAATTAATTCTGTGGTAGTTTAATACACTTTCAACTATGTAGAGAAGGAAAATGTTTCTCATTATAGCTTTAGAAGCTTCATTCATGTTTCTAGGCTTTCTGTTCTGGTAACTTACCTGGATAATATATAATGCTTATTTAAATGCCAGCCACTGTTTTGAGGACCTTACCTGAATCAAATCAACAATATTCATATCAACCCTATGAGGTAGATATTATTAAATATCCCCACTTACCGATCAGGACACAGATGCACGAAGAAGTTAAATAAGTTTCCTAATGTCACATAGAATCTCAGGAATTGTATTACTTCCTATGCTTGACAGCCTGGTTCTAGTAACCACTGTACTATACTGTCTGCAATCCTTATTTGTGTTTACACTATAGTTCCCTTAGTTTTTCTTCTAATGCCCACTAAAATTCTAATGTAAGAATTTTTGGCCAGGTGCAGTGGCACATGCCTGTAATCCCAGCGATTTTGGGAGGCTGAGGCAGGAGGATCACAAATTCTCAGCAATTTAACAAGGCCTTAACAACTTAGTGAGACCCTGTCTCCGTAAAAAATAAAAAGGACTGGGAATGTAGCTCAGTGATTAAATGTTCCTGGATTCAATTCCTGGTACCAAAAAGAAGAAGAAAAAAAAGCATTTGCTACTACCTTTTGTAAAACACCTAACTGTATCCCACTAGGCTCTTGAATATTGACATTGTAACCTTTATTTTTAAATAGGCAATGCATTAGCAGGAATTCAGATTAGGACAAACAGTTGTCCAATTGTTCGACATAATAAAATTCACGATGGCCAACATGGTGGAATTTATGTGGTAAGTTAACAAATAGTTACATAAACTCATGCACAAAAATCATGGGACAAAAAAAGGGGGAGGTGAAGGCTACATGTTGCTATTCAATATTTGGAGTATGAATTTTGTAACTCTTTAGTATTTAGGCAGGATATAAAACTGTCAGTATATGAATGACTTCTTATTTTATACTATATGTAGAGTTCTATAAAATTTAATCAGCTAAATTTGGGCTTTTTTTTTTTTTAGTGTTAATTATTGGCAGTGTGTACTAAACTCTTCACAACTGATTGGCAGTCTTTGAGATTGGTTACATTGGAATTTTGGTAGTGTTATTGTGTGAGTCTCTGAAATTCTACAAAAGCATTTAAACTTGAATATATTATGAAAAAAACAATTTTTAATTTGAATTTTTTGAAACATAATTGTCTTTCAAAAATTTGAAAGCTGTGTATCAGTTGCATTTCTTCTATTATTATGATTATCTGAAACTGCTAACTAATTCAAGTAATATAGGCAACATCATAAAGGTTTTTGTTAGACCAGGTGTGACTTTTAATTTTTATTTATGATTCTAGGCTCATTTCTCAAATTTAGATAATATGAAGACCTTATTTTGAAGTGATTTCACTGGTAGAAGTTTGGAATAACTAAATACTAAAATGAAAGGTCTAGTTGGTTACAAATGTCAGAATGAAATTGAATGTTTCCACTCTTGCTGTGATAGATTTAAAGGTATAAAACCACATAATAATATAAAAATCTTGAAAGCTTAAAACTCAGGTAGAAGCTACATCAAAAGAATGTTTTGAAGATGGAACAGTAGCTTAGTGGTAGAGTGCATTTTTAGTATGCATGAGGCCCTGGGTTCAATTCCCAGCATCAAAAAGGAAAAAAAAAAAAAAAAGCCATTATCCCACTATAAAAACAAAAATTGAAATTTTATTCCTGTCTTTAAGGAAGGACCGTATTATATACTACTACTTGTTTATATAAGAGATGTATATTGTAACCGGTGTAACTTTTATTTAGCATGAAAAAGGACAAGGTGTAATAGAAGAAAATGAAGTTTATAGTAATACTCTGGCTGGAGTCTGGGTGACAACTGGCAGCACTCCAGTATTGAGAAGAAATCGGATACACAGTGGCAAGCAGGTAGGATGAGCTTAGACTCTTGGGTGAGAAATGTTGATTTGTAACCCTTGTAACTTGAAAAAATATATATTATATTTTTAATTTTAGGTTGGTGTTTATTTTTACGACAATGGACATGGAGTGCTAGAGGACAATGATATCTATAATCATATGTATTCAGGGGTTCAAATAAGGTAAATGTTTTCACATTTGGCTTTCTTTTGAGAGAAAGTTGGGAGTAAGTGGACTATGTAGAAGGAATTTCTTGTTTAGTGTCCCGTCTTTTCCCCTAAGTGTATATCCCTATATTATTTATAATACACACATTCTCTCTCTCTTACACACACACACACACACACACACATACACATTCAATTTGAATTGCCAGAATGTAGTTAGTCTAGGTGATGACAGGAACCAGTGACATATGTAGTAAGAACTTTTCCACTGTTGTGCCATCCATTGTGAATCACATCAGCTACTGTATATTGTGCCCTGAATAGCATGTTGTTGGTACTCAGTATAATGGGAATTGTTTTTATACTATTTATGTAAAATTGTTTTATAGCCAGGAACAGTTGTTTACACCTGTAATTCCAGCTACTCAGGAGGCTTGAGGCTAGTTAAGCAACTTAGCAAGATTGAGGCTCAATATAAAATGAAAGGGGTTAGAGACAGTTTGGTGGTAAAGCATCTCTGGGTTCAATCCCCAATTCCAACAAAATAATAAAGTTTTTTATATCCCTCTTGTATGTTTCTGGAACTCTTAATGTTCACATAATTTGACCCTTCATTTTATCTGAGGGGAGAATACAATAACAAAATTGAAAAAGTCATTTAATATAACCCTCTCAGTGTATTTTACATATTTGAAGGCTCCATAGTGGTATAATCTATAGCAAAGCGTTGTAACGGGATAAGCAAATTAAATTAACCATTTTCTTTACTGATAGACTTCTCTGAGGATCTTCAAGAACTCCAGTGCATATTTATTTATTTTGATACCAAGGATTGAAACAACTGGTGCTTAACCACTGAGCCACATCGCCAGCCCTTTCTTAGAAGTTATTAGAAACAGGGTCTCACTGAGTTGCTACAGCATTGAACTTGACATCTCCTGCTTCAGCCTCCTGAACTGCTGGGATTTTAGGCATGCACCCCCCCGCCCCGGGCTATTCTTACCTGATTAATGTGTGACTTTCTCCAGTGATACCTCGTGTAACATGGCATATGGGAGTAGCAGTAATTGATGATGGTATTTCTATCTTATCCATAGGACTGGAAGCAACCCCAAAATTAGACGTAACAAAATTTGGGGAGGACAGAATGGTGGAATTCTAGTTTATAATTCTGGTATGTTTGACCCATCCATCATCTTTTTGTATTAACAGACTTCAGGTATACCTTCTAAATAATATACCTAAATTTTTGCATTTATAGGTCTGGGCTGTATAGAAGACAATGAAATATTTGACAATGCAATGGCTGGAGTCTGGATTAAGACAGATAGTAACCCTACACTAAGAAGAAATAAAATCCATGATGGAAGAGATGGTGGCATCTGTATATTTAATGGGGGTCGAGGTATTATTGTTAATTTTGCACTAGTGAAAAACCCAGTTTTCCCTTATTCTTCCATATCTGTAATGATCAGTGACATTGCCAACTAATATAATTGTATCCAGCTAATATAATTGAATGATTAAGTCTTTATCCTCATCAATACCAGATTGAGATGGTTTAGATAGAGCCTAGAGTTAAAGGAGACAAATCTTTACAGTACTTTATTTTGTAGCCACCTTAACTCTGCCAGTTGTCAGGAAGACTTTTTTTAAATAGACAAATTTGATATCAGTCTGAATCTTATTATTCAGAATAGTGAGTGGTATAGTAAAGTTACAGCAATAGGTGTGAGGAAAATTGATATGAAAATGTCTACATAGGTATTGCTTTTATAACTTTTATTTGGAGAATGAAATTAACAAAGCGAAAACATGTCTGATTTGATATCCAGAAAGTTTGGCTCACTTTGCATTGAAGCAGAAGTTCCGCAATGCCTGCCCCTTGCAAATACACGCTCTTCTGGACATTGGAGAATGCTGAATGCAAATCTATTGCTGTTACTGAAATGTCAGTAACTCAAAAATGTACATTATTTTTTATGGAAGAATAGGCAAACATACCAAGACTTAAGTGACCAAAATTTGCCATAGGCAAGCAGTGATGATCCCGTTGACATAAATTCTCATGGACTTTAGAATCCAATAGTTCAATAAAGTGACATATCTTTAATAGGAGTCTTTCTTTACGAGATTACAGTGAGGACACAAAATGCAGAAAGGTTGGTTGGTTGCAAGGTGTTGAGAAAATCTTTGTATAGTAAAATCACTTGAGCTGTCTCAGGAAATTGGGGAGGAGGGAGAGGGCAGAGACAGGGTTGGTCATTCCAGTGTAATTATTGCACTCTTTTTCTGCAAATAATGATTGACCATTTCTGTACCAACCACTGTGATAGAAATGGTGAACACAAAGAGGACAACAGCATCCATAAAAATTAGAGTGGCACATTGTAAACAAAGTCTAAAGGAAACAAATGGTTTAGTTAAATCTAGAGGTACTCAAAGTTGAGACTGAAGAGACAAAGCCCACATCATGAGAGGTTTTCTATGTGAAGTTTGGACTTAGTAATAGTACTTGAGAAGGCCGTAACACAAATATGCAAGATTAGAAGCAGAGAATTAGAATATCCTAGGCAAGAAATAATGAGAACCTGAACTAAACTGATAGGTAGTTTTATAAGTTGAAAGAGCTATAAGAGTGACTGCAAACTGCAACAGATGACAACAGAATTAAAGGAAACTCACCAGGGGATGAACATAGTAATAAAGAACAGAAGTAAGGTCTTGATAATTAAAATATAAAAACAGCACGGTCTCTAGAAATATTTCAAATTAATTGATTCAGCAGTACTGGAAATCAACTTATATACCAGACACTGGGGATGAAGTAGTGAATAAACTTAGGTATGACCCCTATTGTCAGAACTGAAAGTTCTGACATTACATGTTATTTTAAGCAAATTTTGGTTTAAGTTTTACCTTACATGCCTGAGTTACAAAAAATATTTTGACTGAAAAAAGTTATGTATATATACAGTACTAATAAGAAACTAAAAGAAACCCTAAATACCATCAGAGAGGCTAGTTAAAATGTTATATGCATTAGCCTTAATCTGAGGAAATATTTTATTATAGGTCTCCTTGAAGAAAATGATATTTTCAGGAATGCTCAAGCAGGTGTTCTCATCAGCACTAATAGTCATCCAGTCTTAAGGAAAAACAGAATATTTGATGGATTTGCTGCAGGTTTGTATTCTCTTTTGTTAACCTGTAGCTTCTTTATAGTTATATATAGTGGCTTAAATTTTTTGGTATGTTATATTTAATTATCAAATAATATGCAATGTATACACTCAAGTACCTGAATGCTTGTGAATAACTTAGGAATCTAGTCCAAGTTCTGAATTCTTCAACTCTATGCACTCACTGTTGCATAGTAATTATAAAATATTAATTTCATAATAGACTACACGCAGGCTCATACCATTATTAGGAACAAAAATTTAAGGTCTCTCACTTCAAACACGCTTAAAATATATATATAAAATATGCATGGAGTAGACCTACAAACTACCATGAAAGTTACTTTATTTAAAATAACCATGTAGCTGTTTTCTCTTCAATATGTAAACTACCTACCTAAACACACTTATGGGCCCTATTCCCTCCTAGCAGTTTAATTAATTAAAAGTTTGAGAGTGCTCTTTTGGAGGATGTAGCTCAGAGCACTCACCTAGCATGTGCAAGGCCTGAGGTTCAGTTCCCCCTCTACCACACACAAACAAATGCTGGATAGTTAGTTGACTGTCAGCAGTAAAGTGAATGTTACTGTCAGTGATTCAAGTTAAAATGTTTGCATTTTATCCTTTAGAAGAAAAGTGATTATGTATCCACTTGTTTATAAATTTTACTTTAGGTATTGAAATTACAAATCATGCAACTGCAACATTAGAAGGCAATCAGATTTTTAACAACCGATTTGGAGGCTTATTTTTAGCATCTGGTGTAAATGTGACAATGAAAGGTATGTTGGAGTCTATTATGCCTATGATATGCCATATAAAAATGATCAGAAGCCTTTATTTAAACTTTCTTTTGTCACTCTCCCAATTTAGCAAAAATTTAAAGAGAACTATTTGAAACAAAATAGTTCTTTATTCCTGGGTTGGAATATCTTACACATGGAAAATCCATTTATAAGCAGATTTCTAATTACATCATGGCTAGCTTTGTTTAAAATCTTCTTAATCCTCTAGATTTTTTACTCCTTTTTTTCTTTTATTACAGATAACAAAATCATGAACAATCAAGACGCCATAGAAAAGGCTGTTAGTAGAGGCCAGTGTTTATATAAAATATCAAGTTATACCAGCTATCCCATGCATGATTTCTACAGGTATATTTCTAAGTTATTTGTGAATCAGAAAAAGGGAAGATACCGATTTCCTTTTCAAAATTGGCAGTGCCTAGCATTTTTGGCTACTTGCCAATGGAAAGAGGGTATAACTTAAAAAAGCTTTTGTTGTCCACATTGAATTCTAGACTATTGCAGTATTATAGGAACTGATGTCTTTAAAATGTGCATGAAGTGATAGATCCCAGTAACAAGTTGATGTACCTTTTCCCAAAATTGATTCAGCCCAGAAAGACTTGTTTTAGAATCAGCTATCCCACTGAAGTTTAAAAAAAAAATAAAACTTTAATCTAACCAATAGCCATAAAATCTTGATTTGGCCCTCATAGAATCAATCCAAAGATGAATGGTGACACCCCACCCCCCACATGCAATGTTTTGCATTAATGCCATGTTCAAGAAGAATAATGTAAGGTTTTGCTTTTTAGATGTCACACTTGTAACACCACAGATCGAAATGCCATATGTGTGAACTGCATTAAGAAGTGCCATCAGGGACATGATGTAGAGTTTATTAGACATGATAGGTACGTAGCACACTTATTGCTGTTACCCAATTATTTTACCCTCACTTTCCTAATTTTTGGGTTTTCATTTTGCTTTAGGTTTTTCTGTGACTGTGGTGCTGGAACACTGTCTAATCCTTGTACATTAGCTGGTGAGCCTACACATGATACAGATACATTATATGACTCTGCTCCACCTATAGAATCTAATACATTGCAGCACAACTGAATTCCTTCCCTAAAGAAAAAGTCCTGCCATTCTAACACCATAACTTAAAAACTTTTTTTGTTTTGTTTTGGAAGAAGATTTAAAATATTTGCCCATGCTACAGGAAGAGACTGTATTAAAAATGGATACACAAGGTCAGTTGACACTATGAAGCTCAAGCTACCAAAAAGAAAGTGGCAATATATTGACTCAGGATCTCAAAGCTGGGTGTTTTAGCATTACTGTGTAAAAGACTTTTGAAGGGACAGAAGTGAAGAAAATAAGCTGCAATTTTGTACAGATACCAACTTCTGAAAAGCTGGTGTTTTTACAACTAGCATTGAATGCAGTCCAATTTGCAGTAGTAATCTTCAATAGACAAGCAGCTTTGTTGCTGCCTTTATGGACATGGGTACCAATTGCTTTTGTAATATGGTAAAAATGTGAGCTAGCACTTCTGCGTTTCTTTTGATTTTTTTTTTAACATGTATTCAGATTGAGAAATATGATTTTAATGCTTTAATCTCATGTAGTTTGTTTTTAATTTCAAGCAAAATCTTATTGTACTTGAATGTGCCCTGTTTTGTTAGCACACCTAGACTTGCTGTAAACTGTACTCATGTCCCAGTATGTACGTTCTTTCTATGAAAGAGAAAACACTAATCTTAAATTATATCCAGCAATGTTTCTGGTATCCTTTAAGAAAAGTTAAGACTATTATTTCCTTCCCTTCCCTGTGCAGCATTCAAAATCACCCCTAGAAAAAGTGAGTGTTTTATTGAGACTTCCTAGGAAGGGATGCACTGTAAAACAAAAAGTATTCTTGTAACTCAGTTTTGTGAAAGGTAAAAACTACTATGTTTTAAAGTACACTTTAGAAAGTCTCTTCAAAACAGTCCTGTATTTGAACTCTGTTCATAGTTTTTTTTTGAACAGTTTAGACAAAACTGCTGGAAATTAAAACAATTTCCTGCATTAAGCTGAGACCAGTATATATATATATATATACAGCCCTATACAGTTTCATAGCTCCCCCTCCCCCATTTATGTGTATTGGTGACAGTGGGTATAAACAGCCTGAAAGTGTATGCATGTACCATAACATCTAGACTTAATATATTGTGGAGTATTCAATAACCATTATGTAGAAGGTAGGTAAGAATTAAAAGGGTTTAATTTCCTAGAAAGAAAATGGAAAAATGGTCATTTTTAAAAAATAAAGTTTATTAGATCATAATGTTGTCTGAATTTACCACCTTTGTCAAGTCAAAGCTTCCAATGTAGTCTATAACTCTTTAATCAAACTCAGCAACTTATGGACAGCTTCAGCATCTAGAGTCGACCTTTCACTAGCCAGGCAAACTTCCCTTAAAATAAAAACAAGAGATTGTTTTTTTTTATTACTTTGTCACAGTGCATCATCCCTCCCTCTAAGAAAATTTAAGGCCAGTTGTGGATCTAAATATAATTACCGAAATAGTCGTAGTGACTGATTCATCTTCTCAAATTCTCTTGCTTTTCTATGTCCCTTTTGAATGACTTCCTCTGGAAGATTAGCAAGCCTTGCTGCATTAAAGCCATAGCTCTTAGGACAAGCTCCCTTAATGAATTTATAGAGGAAGGTAATAGTCTCCTGGCTTGGGTCTTCACACTCATTTTCTACCATGCATGCCTTAAAGAAAAATATTTTATCAGCTATGTTATGTGTTAGCAATTGAAATGTCAGTTGATATCCTCAAAAAAGTGAATAATTTTTGAATAAACAGTTTGCACATACCATATGTCCTAGGCGCACAGCAACATTTTTAGAATATTCTTCTACCAATGAATGATAGTGGGTAGAAAACAATGTACGACACTTTATGGTCTCAGCAAGTTCTTTAACAACTGCATTTGCTATTGCTGTCCCATCAAATGTTGCAGTACCTCTTCCTGTGAAAGTGAAGATATAAACTACATGTTATAAACTGCCTTTTTAATTACAAAGGAATACTACAGGGGAGAGGCCCAGTAAGTACAATAGGTCTGCTTCCCAGCCCTTGGGGAATAAAATTTAAAGAGTACTTCCTATTAGTGAAATAAGCCTTTATTAACAGGGAATCAAAAATCTCTTGCAATATAAGGGATGTCCTTCATATAATCTAGAGAAGTAGGTTTTACATCTTACCTAATTCATCCATAAGCACAAGGGAATGTGCTGTTGCATGTGTAAGTATGCTGGCAGTTTCACTTAATTCAACAAAAAAGGTACTTTCACCTAGAAAAAAGAATTGTATCACGAAGGGATAATTATTTTAAGAATCTTATTACTAGCAGTATGGCATATCCAAACCTACCACAAGCTATTTAATGATTTAAAAGATTCATCCTAAGAAACTATGAAATCCTTAAAACCTAAGTAATGTTAATGTCTGAAGCAATCTGCTTTGTATAACACAAAAAAGAAAAAAAAAATTTTCTTTTACCACCTCCAAGTGAACTGTCAAAGCTTGTGGGAACCAACTCACCTGACATTATTCTATCTGAGGCACCAAGTCTAGTAAACACTCTGTCAACTGGTGTGAGCCTACACACTTCAGCAGGTACATAACAACCCATCTGGGCCATTACAGCTAACAGGCCAGCCTGTGAACATAGAAGGAAAAGGTGTTGAAGTTTCAAAAATTGATATTAACAAGAACCTATACATTACCTTTATTAAGAATCTGAGTCTAGCCCTTTTAAAAAAAAAATCTTCACAATCTTATAATACCTCTATTTATGATAAGCGAGGATTAGAGAGTGTCAACATGCTGAGGACCTCTGGCCTATATACTAATCCCACTACACTAGTGAATCCCAACCTTCTAGGAGCTCCTCAAGACTACTGATGCTTAACCAATCCTGGATCAGGATTGGTTCAGGGAAATGCAACCCCTATTATTTTCTGTAGCCATTTTGGGGGGTTTTCAGGACTTTTTCAAAAAGCTGAAAACTATACATACTGCTGACTCTCAGAGGCTTAACAAACTATTTTTCATTTACAACCTTTTAAAATGTGAAAACAATGCTTGGTCTCTGGCCAACCCCTGACATCTAGAGAATCAAAAAGGCCATCATGCCTTCCCTAAAAAGCAGTTCCCAGTAGTCAGTTGGGTCTTTTACAAGGATTCCTACCAAAAGGTGGGCACTGGCAATGCATGCACTTAAGTGTGTACAAGACCTTGGGTTCAATTGCCAGCACCAAGAACAAATAGAGGAATAAAACCTGCAGTATTTCAAGCGTTCATAATCCTATTCAACCAAGTCAAAGAGCCTCATGACCTAAAACCTACCTCTGTACTTATTTGGTGCTTAGGGTTGAACCCAAGGTCTTACACTTGCTTGTAAAACACACTACAACTGAGCTACAACCCCAGGCGCTTTCTGATATATAAGAATAAGTTACCTGTCTTATGAGTGTAGACTTGCCCCCCATATTCGGTCCTGTAACAAGCACACAATAAGCTTTGCCATTTTCTTTCTCTTCTTCCTCACAGCCTATTAGAATGTCATTAGGAATAAAATCATCTCCAAAAAAAGTCTTCGTAATGCAGGGATGTCGTGAACCTTTAAGCTCTAAGAAAGGGAGAGTGTCTTCTCCTGGTAACAGAATCACTGGGCGACACATAGGACCATCACCACCTTGACTATAGTTAGCCAGACATATTAAGACATCTGTCAAAGAAATAAAAGTGAGACTTCATTTGGGGGGAGTGAGGATCTTGACAGGTAAACTCAGACCCCCACTGGATAGCACAAACCCAGCTTCTTTGAAAAGTCATCAGAAATGCATTTCACTGAGTGGAAATGGTAATGTTTTATAACACTTTAATGAATTAGAAATAACCTGGATTTAGGCCTAAGAATTTTTCCCTTCAAGAGAGTTAAGCTCTAACATCTATACCAGAAGACTGTGAAGAGGCGATGTAATCCTGGGGCTAACATTTTTGGGGGAAGCACAATGTTCTGAGAGTTGGTGTATTAGATATTCAATCTTGGTAGCTAGATCAATTGACCAATTTTAAACACCTGTACTAACGATTTTCAAATTACCTGATTACCAAGTGCAGCATACAACAACAGAAGGATGCTACTTATTCTATATCATTGGATAAAACAGTTTTGTGTGATAAATTTGGGCATGGGTTGGGCAGGGGTTGTAGTTCAGTAGCAGAGTGAATGCTTAAGGTCCTGGGATGGAGCTTTCCACCCCACCCCCACTCCATACATACATACATACATACATACGTACGTACATAACACACACACAATCTGGGAAAACTATGGTTGCTGTTTTTAAGCAAATTTTTTAGAAAACTATAAACCTAAAATATGAGACAAAAAAAATCTCTAGACACATTCATTGGTCATGACATTTTTAAAGATTATCAAATTATAAGTACACAAATCAGGGCTTTTTGGTTTTTTGTACTGGGGATTGAACCCAGGGGTCCTTTACCATCCTGCACCCTTCTAATTAATTTATTTTGAGACAGGGTTCCACTAAATTGCTGAGGCTGGTCTTGAACTTGAAATCATCCTGCCTCAGCTTCACAGAGTCACATGGGATTACAGCAAGCAGGTACCACCACGCCCACCCAAAGCAGGGCTTTTTAAAATCAGGGTAGAATGCATATATAAGGCTCTGGTCATCCCCAGAACTCACAAAAATGCAGTAAAGAAAGCAAGATAATTGGTTAAAGAGAAAAAGGGAAGCTTTGAGTTAAATCACTGTGGGCAACCTTGTCATGTTGCCTAGTGAGGCAAAAATACATGTCAATATATATACCTTGTTAATTAGACTTTGGGATACACAACTAGGACACAGCATTACTAACCAAGTCTGAGCAACAAACTTGTTCAAAGTCTTACCCAACACTGCAATGCACTCTACAGCAGACTGCCAGTCCTTGTAATTTTTATCAAAATTATAGAACAGTCGCCGCATGCAGTCCTTCAATGATATATCTCTGCGTTCTTCAGCATTTATCAGGTTAGCCAACTTCTTCTCAATAGTTTTGGTCCAGTATCGTTTACAGCCCTTCTTGGTAGATTTCAGCTCATATTCTTCTGGCAAATTATGGGTGGTAAAATTCTCTGGAATTTCCAACTGGTAACGATTCCTACCAATCCCCCAATATACTATGGTCCTACAGCCTATTCGATTGCGCTGTTTCTCTAAGTATTCTAAGAGGCTCTGCTCATTTTCTCTTATGTCAGCAAGCGCTTGGTCATAATCAGAGTCAAATCCTGCTTTGGGAGTAATCAGTCCAGTCTTTCGAGCTTTTTCATGGTCAAAGGCTGTATCCCATCGATTCAGTTCTGAAGTCAAATCAGGGAAGCAGCCTTCAGGATTTTTTGTCTGTAGACTAACAACCTGCTTAAGGATTTTGGACTTAAAATCATCAACAACTTCTTCCATAATTCCTATAATTTTACACATTACTTTGAATCCTTCAAGTGCAGAAAGAAAATCAATGATCTTTTTTTTGCTATATGTAGTTTCTTCATACATTATAGCCCTGCTATCAGGGTGGTTCTGGCTCTTCAGGGGAGACCCAACATTATGAATTTTACTCAGTAGCCTCTCAAGATCTGGCAGCTTCTTTAGAAGGTCTGTGACTTCAGAGATTTTGTCAGGCACGACGATGAGGTCTTCTATGGCATTTAGACGGTCATTGATAGCAAAAGGGCTACACAGCGGAGCACAAAGCCACTGTTTTAGAAGTCGTTTACCAAAAATAGTATGGCAAGTATCAATTCTTTCTAGCAGGGTCCCTTCAGTAGAACCATTTGTCCCATTTACAAAAATCTCCAAGTTGTTTAATGTCACTGCATCTAGCACCATTCGTTGATTAGCTTTAGTAAATTTAGCACCAGATCTTGTATTGACCATGTCAGAATCCAAGGGAATATATTCTTCGAAATTAGCCATGGATAAAAGATCCTGATCAATAAGGCATTTTTTGAGGTAGAAGACACAACCACCTAGAGCAGAGAGGGCCAATTCACTTTTTTCTCCTGGTGTCAGCCCAATGGAATCAGACTCTGAGGTCATATCTTTAAGCACCTGGGGCAACATCCCCCCACTGTCCTCATTTAGTTTTTCAGTAAAATAGCCCTCTTCGAGGAGAGTTCTCAAAGTTTTAGCTGCATCCCAAAATTGGGACCCTGGTATCAGACCTTCCTGAAGAGAGGAGGATAATGAACTCTTTA